TGTACTGGCCACAGGTCTAAAGCAGACTAGTTCGTGTGTGAGGGAGATGGTGGCATCACCCTTAAAAGGGCATGGTAAGCCCAGAACATGTCAGAAACACGAACCATGAAACCATTGCCAGCTTTCTAGCAAGGAAAGCTTTTTTAATTGTGTGTGAAATAGTCACAAGACATGAGTTGTCTCCCACTGTTTTCCCAAGGCCGTCAATCCTTTGCTTTTCTTCTTTAAACAGACATTACTGAAAGGGAGAAAATGAGCATGGAAAATACCATTCTGTTCTCGCCTTTTCCACGCAATTCTTTTACAGCCTGTCTAGCCAGACCTTGGGAAGTATGCCATTTAAAATCAGAATCGGGGTGAATCAATGCATTTCCACCCTTATCATTGGCAATGTTTAGAAGCTTTTTTTTTTTCCTGACTTCTAAATAAATTTTCCCAGCATAGTTTTTAGAACCATTACTTAAAAAATTGAAGCTGAAAATCTGAAGGTCACAGAGAGCTTTAAAATGCTGTAACAGTCTGCAAACAGCAAATAGAAACAGAAATAAAATTAATTTAAAAACTTCATTGTAGCATAAACATAATAAAAATTGACAAACAAATAATTATGATATAGATTTTCATTCCTTTTAGTGCTCATTCTTTCATTATTAGTGCTGTGCCTTTTTATATTTTGTCTGCAATTAATGAGACTTTGAACTTAGATGAGAGGCTTCAAAGAAACCCTAGGACCATAGATTACTTTTTTTTAATTTCCCATAAAAGAAATTCTGGAAGGATGCAACAGCAACTCAATTCATTTCTGTATTGTTACCAAGAAGGGTATAAAGTTTATATAAAATATAAAAAGGGTATAAAATGAAGCCACCAGAAGCCAGATTTAACTCAAATAAGACATTACTCCATTTTATGCTGAGTGTCTTTCTCTTCCCATAGCAGGCAGCTCTCATGAGCTCATGGTATACAAAAAAGGAGCAGATTTTGTTGGTTGCAAGACCCTGATTCAAATCCTTGCTCAGTTCTGAAGATCTGAAAGAACTGCGCCACTTATTACAGCTGTCCTTTTCATTTAATCTGTGCCCCAAAACCCAGATATGTCCCCTGGAATATCTTGCCCTAGTGTAGATCTTAAACATGACATGGCTAAAACACACCATAGTGTCAAAATTATGGTGGTGGGAATAAAAAGCTCAGCATCACCCATATGCATGATTTGGTCCCTCTTGTTGTGCATCTTTACTCTATCCACTGTGGCTCTTACTCTCCTCAAAAATGATCAGTGCAGTCCCACACACTGACAAGTTGACTACCCTGGCATAGATGCCTTCAGCACAGTAGAACGAATCCCCTCTATTATCATACCACTTATACACTCAGGAAGTTTCTCCTAATAGTTAGAAAGATCTGGTTCCTGTCTTTTTAGCCATCGATCTTGGTCTGGGAGAATAGATTTCTGTCTTCTCCAGAGCAGACTCTGGACAATGTCTTCTTTTAACCAACTTCAGGTTTAACATCCTCACCTTTTCAAACCATTCCTCCTAAGATTCAAATCCCTTCTATATCTGGATTGCATTCCAAGGTGACCATTTGGAAGATGAGGACCAAATGCTACACTCTAGAGATGTAACTTGACCATCTCCAGATCTTGAGGTATCATCAACACTTCTTTAGAAATGTATCATCATGGTATCACAATTTAATCTGAGTTGTGATCAGTGTGATAGGATAAGATAACATAAGAACAGTTCTGAAGCTGGATCAGGCCTTAGGTTCATTTAATCCAGCATTCTATCATACAGTGTCAACTGGAAGCATTTTGATAGCTTACAAACCAGAACAGATAGATGCTGGGGAGAGTGAAATGCATATGTGTATATATATCACTAAGGAAATCAACCCTGACTGCTCATTGGAAGGATTGATAACGAAGCTCAAGCTCAGATACTTTGGTCACCTAATGCGAAGAGACGACTCTTTGTAAAAGACCCTGATGCTGGGAAAGATGGAAG